AATTGAAAACATCTGGTCATGGGTTGCTGAGACTGGCTCGCCACCCCTCTCCTGCTAATACAGTTGATGAAGCGTGGCATAGACTTGAAGCAGCATGGAATGAGTTGCCCATTTCTGTCATCCAAGCCCAGTTTGACTCCATGCCTAACCGGATAAGGGCCGTTTTAGCTGCCAGGGGTGGCAACTGTGTCTACTAATTTCGCACCCCTGTAAACCCCAAACTGCTTGCAAATTTAATCATTTTGTCTTCATGCCTTACTGTTTATGTACAATAAATATCTTTTTTTTATTTGCTTTCCTTCTTGGTGTTGCAATTTTAATGGCCAGCAGTGTATATCAAATAAAAATATATTATCATTAGAGAAGCATCATTATAATAAAATATCTCAAATACTGCAAAGCTCTTCAGTATTTTCTTATGGATGAATAGTTTTCTTCTGCAAACATGATTCATTTGTGAAAAAATAAACTTCTCATTGTTAAGTATTTTTGCAATAAGATAATAGATTTACGACAAGTTTGCAAAAAAAAAAAATCATCATGAATTAAGTTAATTTCTCTCTCACACAGATTGGCTAATTGAAATGCGATTTGGGAATTACACAATTATTTTAATATTATATTTCATTGTAAAGTAATATAATGTAATAATATAATATTATTTATGGATACTTGATAATATTATATGGATAGGATAGGATATTTTGTATTTTTTTTAATAATATAATCAAATAAATTCTTTTAAGCTAGTCTCAAGAATTATTTTATTTATTACTCTTTTCCTAATTAATGTTATTTTAAATAATAATAATTTTCTAAATTTACATTTTGTGCATTGTTAATTAAATTTAAATTAATATAAATAAAACTGAAAATTTTATTTAGTCATATGAAGATGTTGTAGCAAGATTAGAACCTGTTATAATGGTAAGTGTTATTTTTTATTTTTTAAATTAATTAGCAAAATTTAACATGAGTATCATTCTTAACAGCTTAATTAAATTTTATCTGAAAAAGGATAAAAAATTTTCATTTAGTAATTATCATTTATTAAAATACTATTAAAATATAATAGTGTTTTGCTAATCTTTAAAATTTAATGGATTATAAATAGAAAATAATAATAATTTGAGTTTATAGTATTGAAATGACTAAGACAAAACATTTCTCACTTTGTTTATAGCATAGAAGTGTTTATAGTATTGATTGCAAATTTGTACCCTTTTAGTGATGGTAATGAAGATAATGTTAAAGGAATATAAATAGGGCTTCCTGAGACCTTCTTTACACAGACAATTTAGTTTTAATAGTGTAGAATGAGAGGAAACTAAGAGAAAAGTTAATGAAATAGAAAGGAACTCCAGAAGATGAAAAAAATTAATATTGAAAGTATTAACTTTTAAACCTTTAAGCTTTTTAGCAGTGAATGCAAGTTTTAAGTAACAAAAACTGGAAAATGGCCCTATTATAAGGTATAGGTAGAATTTTAGTTAGTGTAACAATACAGTAAAGAGTGGCTATATAAAAGGCACAGTTTACTAGAAGGAAGCTTGTTTAAAACTGGCTCTATATGTTTTTTGTAAATCCTGTCTAGGTGTGACTTATGTTACTCAGTCCAAAAAATTTAAGAATTAATGACCGTTATGATAGAAATGTATAAAACTTCAAAAGATGTTAACTGTTTTGTTTATTATTTATAATTCTGTTTGTTAACATAGCAACAATTTCAAATAATTAGAATAAGAATTCTGTTATCAGTTTTAATAAAGTTGTATTTTAATAAATGCTGTGGAATACTATTTCTTTCCATTATTAGTTTCCCATTGTGCTTTTGCTTTTAAACAATGAAGGAAATAGACCATCAAAAAACAATTGTTGACAAATGAGTTTAAAATCGAGAAAAATCAAAGCATTTCATAGCAAATGAGATACAAATTTCCCAAAGTACAGTGGATGGAATGTTAAGTATTGTAAGACATTGTCCATTTCTCAAAAGCCAGGTTGCAGTAAAAAATATAGTGCTTGCAATTTACAACTTGACCAGAAGATAATCAGTCATTTCCAAAAATTGCAGTATGTTAGTGAGAGATATTGCAAAAAAGAAATGTGAAACTAACGAGTGATTATTTATTGTGACATTGTCACAATGCTGGTCTGCAATTTTTAATCATATTTTTAATTTATTTCATTTAAGATATATGCTCTGCACCTCAAATTAGTACTTTAGTGTCTTGCCTCTGTACCAGTACATCATACTTTTTTGTTAGCAATGAAGTCATGTTGGATATCTATTAACTGCTTTCAGGGGAAAGTTCTAAATTTAAATGTGACTTCTGGTTTGCATCAGAAGTTCGTATATAGTTAATCAGGGCCTCCTCCCCTAAGGTTTCCATATCTGGTCTTCATCTATCTAACTCTGTTCTCGAGATTAAGGAAAGACAGACAGATGACAATGGAAATTTATAGGTCTACAATTTTTTCAAATTGCTGCCCACAGTCCAATCAAACAATGGTTCAAAGGGCTAAGCAGTATGCAGGTATGAGATCATATAATTACTTTTAATTACTATCTTTTGTTTTTCAATATCTAAAGTTACTGAAAAACAAAAGATAGTAATTAAAATTAGAGTTCAAAAATTGTATTGTTTAATTGGCAAGAAGAATACTTGTGTGAAGAGTGACTTTTCAACATTTCCAGGCTCATGCTATTAAACACCATTTGAAGGAGAAGTTTTTCCAGAATCTCAAACATCAATTGGTATCTAAAAGTTTGGTTAAAAAATTTTAGATTTGATGTTTTTTACTCTCAGCAATATCAAAACATTCATTTCACCTATTCTTTAGTCTATCTTAATATATAATTCAAAAATTATCATCACATTGAGTAAATACAGAAGAAAAGAGAATGAATTGTACAGAAACACACAACTAATGTGGATATACAGGTTTTATTGATCAGTTCTCTCAAGCAATTCTGGTTCTCTCTAACAATTTTTTGCTTACTTATAACAATTAAAACAAGAACAAGAAGCAGTCAAGTATAAACAGATAGTAGGGTTTTTTTTTTTTTTTTTTTGATAATCTGAAACCATTTTGTGACTTTTCTTTGATTCTTAAACACTATGTAGTGTTGTAAATTCAAATACTTGGTGTTCTATCATCATTATTTAGTTCAGTTGATAGTAGGTTTCAATTTAGGAGTTCAAGAATTTAAAAACTTATATCAAATTTTGGGAGTTTCCAGTTGAGTTTGGAGAGTTGGTAATCTTAGGAATCAAAATAGGAGAGAAAAGATGAGAAGAACTGGGTCCTTAGTTCAAGGGTCCAGATTATTGCAGAAAAACTGTCTAAAATGAGTATTGTATTAAATATTAAAATTTATGATTATTTATTACTGATTTAACTAGTTTTAGTAGGTTTTTTTTGAGATTTTTATTTTACAACACTTATATTTATTTAACACACATTAATAAATCACTTAATCTCATTATACTTTTTCATAATTATGATAGTTAACTTGAACTCACAGTCTCCACTTGCCAGTTGTGCCACTCAGACTTTGAGCAAGCCTTCACTTCCAGATGTATTTAAATTTAGATATAACCTTACGCGGTTAATCAAGCCCCACTCTGGGTCTGTTCTTTTCTTCCAGATGGTTCTAAATTATTCAATAAATTATTAAAATTATAATTATTAATTTAATTATGAGATGATGCCTAACATCTACCTCTAGTATTAAATTACTTAGTATTAATTATTAAAATTAGCAAAATTATAGCCCGATTTTTTATGCAATCATTTGGTGATGTTTCTATATACATATCAGGCTTTGCAATGGGTGTTATATTTATATTGATTCCATCTATTAGAAATAACTTGTTACTTTGTACAATAAATGCAACCAACCTAATAATTACTTCAAATAGCTTGGTGATGGAATCTGGCTGTTTATTTGATATTTCTTTGAAACTTTTTGAGGATTGTCAAATGAAAAAATTTGCAGTGTAATATGCAAATATGAAACATATATTTATCACTCCAGACTATGTGTAGAATGAAGAGACTGTATTTATAACAAAAATGTGCTTTTTTTTTTTAACTGTGATAGGGTATTTTATTTCTTAATGAGATATGGATATCTTTCATAATCATCCAGTTGTATTCATTTTATTTTCTGATTATAAAATTAGTAAACCCTTATGAATTCTTTCATGTATGAAAACATGGTCATGGCTGTCTACTGATTAAACTTGATGAAATTGCTTTTATATATATATTGCTTTATACAGACACAATAAAGTGACTCCTTTCAAACACTTGACAGATTATTCATCTCTTTATTCAGTTGGGATGCTAGTTACAAATTGCATTTTGGGCATTAGCCCCTCCTCAGCCAAATAAACATTAAAATCAAACATGAGAAAATTTACATATAAATACACGAATTAAACATTCCATAGATATAACACATTTAAAAAAACATACCTTAAAAGTACAAATTACAAACATACAGATGGCATACATAATGAACTGTATCAAATTTCATAGATCGAGTGAAGAATGAACAGATGGACAGGTCTCGAACTTGACAACAGGATTTTCAAACTTGACAAACTTTGGTTTTATATAAATAATATTCATATAAATAAAAAATATATGAATCAAAAAAATATATATTTATATATTTGTTTTGATTTTCTTGTACTACAGGAAAAAATGAATAAGGAGTTAAATTTTTCCAGTCTTTGGCTTCTCTGTTGATTTTTATGGGTCTTGTTTGTTTTTTTTTTTCTTTCTTTTTGTTTGTTTTTTAGAATCTTATATGGTTGTTTTGACTTTGTTTGTGAAGTTGGGACTACTCCTTTCTACATGTTATTTCCTTATTTTATTGAGTGGATAAGTTTGATTTTCTTGTCTGCATTTGTTAACATTTGATGATTCAGTTTATAAAACTAATCCTTAATGATAACTCTTTTCAAATGAGAAGGTCCAACAACATTTCTTCAACTTGTTTTCACTGTATTTTTCTGTCCATCTATCAATAAAATTTAATTTCTTCATTCTTTGGAAACTGATTTAGTCAATAATATGTAAAGTGGATATCTTTTAATCTAAATTACTGAACTTAGATAGATTATCATTGTCAAATTATCTTAAAATAACTGTGTCAATTAAACATCTTTAATTTCCTAAATGTTTCATCTCTAAGCTGTGTTTGAATTTTTATTGATTTTATGATATCTGTAACAAAGAATTTCATATATATTTGCACAATCAGCTAACATGACTGACAATTTGTTTGTGCATATAGTAGAACCCATTTAAGAAGTTTCTGCCTAAGAGGTTTTCCTGCATAAGAAGTCCAATTTCTATTGTCCTGGCCTTTAAACCATAAGATGTGTGTTAAAATTTTCTGCATAACAAGTTCCTGTTTAACAAGTTTTCCCATGTAAGAAATTCCAAAATATCGATCCTGTCAACAGTATTTTACCAGTTAAGAAGTTTATGTTGGAGATAAATCATAATCTTTTTCTTCACCACAACTTTATCACTTATAAAAACAGTACAATTTTAGTAAAATAACTCCAGATATTTACCATATTGTATATCAAACATTTGCAAGCCTGAGGTGATTGCTAAATTAGCTTGGAGACCCTAGCTAATTTAGCAATCACCTCAGGCTTTGACCATACTCCCTATCTGATGCTGTCTATTAACCATTGACATGTCATATTGACACCAATCACTTAATTACCTTCTGTAGTAAGTGCATCTTACTATTCTACTATGTTACACTATGCTATGTTATATTACCTTGATATTGAAATAAAATTGATTATATAGATAAAAAATTATAATTCTTAAGTGTTTTTCCTACCTAAAATTTTTATTTTTTAGACTAGCTGTGCCTTGCGGTTTTGCTTGTGTGGAATTTAGTTTATGACTATAACAGTATCAGTTAGATGATATCTTTTAATTTATATGAATGTTTTAGGAATGCATATGGGTCAAAAGATATTCATTATTTTAAGCGACAACAAATAGGCAAATGTTTAGCACAAGTTCAGACACGTGCACTGCGTATCTCGCTGACCACGCACGTGACTGCACCACATGGTTACCTATCTCGTATACGTACACGTCTTGCCCTTCACCACCCACTGACACCAAAAATATAACACTTACCTAGATTATATCTTTTAATTTATATGAATGTTTAATGGAATAATATACAGCCTATGTCCACCCTGAAGGTCCATTCTAAATATTGGTGAAAGAATTCTTGAAATTGGATGAGTAGTTTCGGAGATTACCTCCTACATCCAAACTTACAAACTTTACCTCTTTATAATATTAGTATAGAAGAGACCCTTCAAAACCTTCATGATGTATATATTAATCTGATCTCAGCTAATAATAAAGATTACTTGAAATCATGTATAATTTTTTCATTAATTTTAAAATAATTGAAGTTATTAAACCTAACTATATTTTAATAGGAACTTGAAAGACAAGAAAATGTATTAGTTGTTGCTCATCAAGCTATATTAAGATGTCTTCTTGCATATTTCTTAGATAAAAATGCAGGTAAATTTTACTTCATTTTAATAAAATAATAAATCATAATCTTAGATTTTATTAGTATATTAATATATCAAAAAAAGAAAAAATCTTTCTGTGAAACAAAAGAAATGCATGTTAATGTGTCATTTTTACTTTAAATTAATTCAATTTTTAAAATATAAATATTATTTTAAATAAAAATATATTTTAAACATTTAAAATAAAAAAAGATCAAGTAACCCACCATAATATTCTGTTAACTTTCTTTTTAACAATACAGAAGAAATTCCACATGTGGAAGTGCCTGTCCATACAGTAGTCAAGTTGACTCCTGTTGGTCATGGTTGTCATGTTGAAAAAATCAAAATCTCCATAGATGGTGGTGATGGTGATTGGTCAACAGCAAAAATAAATAATTATATATAGATCTATACAGTTTAAATTATAGTAGTAATTTTATATATATATATATATATATATTTTTAGTATTTTATTTATTAAAATCACTAGTTATAGAATTTGTAATATAAGAACATATATTACACATGATAGTGCATACAAAATAAATGTATATATTTAATTTAATACAATATAGAATCAATAATTAAAATATAATATTGAATGTATATAAAATATATTCTCTTTAACAAACTAGAATTTTTATTATTTTATTTGATTATTATATAATTAGTTAAAGTAATACCTTAATAGTAATTTTACTTAAATGTTAATTTTGTATGTATTTATTTTAAATATTGCCATATTTTAAATTCCATATTTTCAAAATTAATATTATCAATTTAATAAAATATAAACACATTAAAATATGAGATTTACAAACTATGCTATAATTAACTTTAAAAAAAATCACAATTACTGACTTCCATTTTGCTTATTACAAAATTAATATTAAAATTGAAGATTAGCTTCATAACAGCAATAATTTTTAAATTTATTTTCTTAAATTTAATTTATTACATATTAGAGTAAATGATACTTCTCTAATATTTCTATTTCTTTAATGTATTCATTCTAATTGATTAGTAACTAACATTTGTGTAAAAATTGCACATTATATTTTCTTTGTTTATTTTGTTAAATGTTGATAATTTATGCTAAAAATAATTTTTATTTATGAACAAAAATTTTTGAAAGTTTCATTAGATCAACTTTTAATACTTTAATGTTTGAATTTTTTTACACACACATTTTGTTCTTTGGTAGAAAAAATTCATTTAATTATGATGAAATTCTATTTAACTGAATTAATGTTTTAAAGGTGCTTGTTATAAATTTTCTTCTTCCATAAAGTCCACTAGTCAATTGAAAATATGCAAAATGTATTTTTAGGAACCATTTTATAGATGGAAAAACTAATTTATATAAGTCTAGAAAAGTATTTTTTGTGTTAAGATTCCTGAAAAATTTTTCAAAATGGAGATGGCAAATTATGAAAGTAACTAGCTTATATATTTAATATTCAATACAATTTTTGATAAATATTTGAAGCTTACATAAAAAATTTGATATCTTAAAGTAGTATTGATGGGAAAATGGTTCTTTGAATTAGTATTTCTATATTTTTTATCTTAATTTGTTAAGTTGTTATTTTAGATTATATTAGTATTTTTGTTTATAAATGAAGCAGTAATTAAACTAATGCATTTTATTTATTTTTACAATTCCTCATTTTAAATATATTCCAATTTAAGTCAAAATACAGTATACTCTTGATTGTCTGGGATAATTATCCAGTAATGGAGACAAGGATAACATGAAAACATGGATAATTTACAAGTCTGTTTTAATGAAAGTTACTAGATTTTTCTTTCATTTAGTTTTTAATTTATATTAAATTTAACATAAATATAATTAATTAATTAATTAAGCTTTAGATGTGATCAGAGTTGAATAAAATGTTCGATGTAAACAGGAAATTCAGAAAAATTTATTGAACTAGCATATCACAATTCACAATCGATTTCTTATACCATCAACAGAGAATGACATGTTACTAGCTAGATATCATCATAAAATGTTATTAATTTTTTGATATTAATAATTTATTTGATAAGGAAATGATTCAAAATATTTTCTTTAAATATTTTTACAACCTATTTTTTGAAAAAAAGTAGTGTTTACCTAAGTAAAGCTCTTATTGTTCAAGAATCAACTGCACTACTGTACTTGTTAGGCCATTTAATTTATGCCATGATGTTCTGGAAGTAGTTCTGATACTCAATGTACCATTTTAAATAGCAAGAGTTAATGCAGATTTTTTAAAATTTTAATTTTAATATTTGTATTCCTGACATAAATTTTTATTGTGACATAAGCATGCACAAATAACCTGCACAGGGATAATTATTGAGAGTATACTGTAATAGTTTCAATAAATCAAAAATATAACTCAACCTATAATAATAGTAACAGTAATGATAATCTAGATTAGTCCTGTAAAAGTTATATATATTTAGAGTGATTTTTTTTTAAATTCAGTATTAACATGAAATTAATGCATGAAATTTTTATATCTAAAGATATTTATATTTTGAATAAATTCTTTGTTTTTAATTCTGTTATAAAATTTTAAGATAAATTAATATGCATTTTTAACAATAAGGTTCTTAAATTTGGTATTTTGATATAGTTATGTCAGAATTTTCTTTTACGTATTTATATTGAAAATTTGTTGATTCAGTTGGATAATGTATTTCTTATTTTTGGATTAATATTTTTTGATACAAAATATTCTGTTTTCACTAATTGTTTGAATAAAGTGAGAACTTATATATGTCTTAGTTAATGTTATTGAAGGAGATTTTCTATTAATATATATACCCGTATTACAATATTCTTAAGAATATATGTATTAAAAGTTTAATTAAACATATATGAACTTTTATATTATTTAATGCGAAGCAATCAGTAGTAATTCATATAGCAATGAAATAGTTTAGATAAAATAGCAGAAGCACATGTATGGCCATCAACAGCTTGTATAGAGCAGGTCTCCCTTTTCTTTTAAACAAATGAAATATGTAGAATGCTTCTTTATTAATAAAAATCAGTCTTAAATATTTTATTTTTTGTTAGTAAAAATAACAATTAAAAAAATAATTCATAGAGATAGAAAGTACTATGGGTTCCTAAGTTTTCTCTAGGCCAATGGGAAAATGCTCAGCTCTTTTTCCACTTGAAAACCCTGAATATCTTTTATATTTATTATTAGCAAACTTCATACTTTTAATAATTTTTAAATCTTATCCATATTTCACATATCTAATATACATGTCTTAATAGTAGTATTGAAATATTGTGTAAATTAGATGTAATATCTTTAGTGGTGTAAATAAAAGTTCATATTTTATCAATCAATTTACAAAACACATAATCATAGATTTCAAAAGAATTTTGGTGAGATTTTAGTGAAAAATAGAAAATATTATATACATATGTACATATATATAAACATCAGTTTCTTTTATTTATCATTTTTTCATTTGTCTTTTTTTTATTTCACTCCTTAATTAATTCTTATAATAAAAAAAAAAAACATCAGTTCATTATTAAGAATTTAGATAAGAAAAATTAAAGGTTTAATAACTTCATTGGTCCTTGCTTCAGTCTGATCTGATGCCATTTGATAGAAATAATGAAAGCTTGGTTGTTGGAAGTTCTTGAATCAGGATTTAAAAATTTTTTTAAATTAATTTTTTTCTTAGAAGACTGAAAAGTTTTAAGTTATTTATTAGTAAATATCAAAGAATAAAAACTTTTTTTAATGTAAAACTAATTTAGTTCTACCTATTTCAAATTTTGTTATAACATTTTAAGTTAAGATACTATGCATTTTTAACAAAATATTTCTATTTTGATAATAAATTGTTATCATTGAATCTTCTCTTAATTCTAACATAAAATTAGTTAACTAAATTAGTGTATTTACAATATATATTGCACAATTTTGAAATAATAATTTTTGATACAAAATATTTTATTCCAAAGGCTCAGTTTTAAAATGCTTTGATAATAAATAAGAAAGTTAAGAATACTTTTAAGATTATTAAGATATAAGAAACATGCCAAATTAGTTAATTTAAATAACTAAAGAAATTAGTAATCAGTTATTTACACTTAATTTAAATTCTTTTGAATTCTGTTTTTAAGTTTTTAATAATAATTTAATTAACTAAACTTTATGATTTATAATTAAAAGATATAGAGTTAAGGTTTTTTTAAATTCAAATCATTCTTAACTGTTACCTAATATTCACAAGTAGTTATTTTATGTATTATATTTAAATATGAACTTTGATTATAAATAATTTCAAAAAATATTATATTTTTAATATTAAATACTTATAATTGCGAATTATAATTGAAAGATGGAAATAGTTTATCTGAAAATTTTTTGAATTAATTTTTTCTGAGAAAGTGAATTTTAATAATTTGAGAATAATTATGTATTACAATAGAGTCATATACCAATTTAAAATATGTAATGATTTAGTTACTGATTTACTGTTCTCTTATTTCTAGAAAAAATAAAAAGATTGTTACTTTTACATTTATATTTATTGTCATTTACATCATTCATAATCATTGTTTTGAATAGTCGAAGAGTGTCAGTCATGAAAATAAATTTTACTCATTAGTTGCATTTAAATATTTTTAATTATTATGAACTATATAAATCAAATTAATATAGTTTAATAAACACTGTGTTGATTCACTTTAGTTCTATCCTTTGATAATTTTACTTTGAATTAAAGCTGCCTAGAATTAATTATATATTATATAGTTAGAGTTGTATCTATAATTTAAATCTATGCTTCAAAAAAAAATGTATGAAATTTTATTAAGATTTGTAAATATTAATTGACATGTAGAAATTCCATTTCATATATTGAATAAAATTTAATAGATTAACTTATTATCTTCCTATTTTTACTAGAGTGATGTCATGTTAGTATCTGAATTAATTTATTCAGAGAAATTTTTTATAGTTTGATTTCTGATTA